ACCCTGGTAACAGACGCACGGCGTGAGTGTGTGCAGTTCTGTACTCGACAGCCTGCAACAGCCCTGGTGAAAACGCAAACCAGGCGCCACTAAACAGATCCTGCCTCACATTCACCGACACGCCTCAGATGATCCCGTGTTTTAAAGTTTAATGAAAAGAAAACGTGCTTATTCGATTAAGACGTTTGCAAGGCGGTGTACCAGTCCCCACCTCCCAGCCGAAGCGCTGTTGTCGTCTTAGCTTTTTTTATTTTTATCATTAATCACCGAGTCCCCCCCGCTCCCCTCTTGCCCGAACCAAACACACACGGGACTGCGGAATGTGCCTCAGTTGAGCTAGGCAAGGCGGTAACTGTGTTAGCAGTCCATGTGAGCCGGCGGTCAGGTGTCTGCTGGCTCCCCGGCTCCTGGCGCGCCGCCAGGGGAGCTGCGCTATTATTGGAGCCGCGGCGGCAGCAGGCCTCGCAGACACGTGAGGCTGTGGCGCAGCTCGTCCACGGCGCATGACAGAGGACTTGAAAGAGAGAGAGAGAGAGTCCGTGTGTGTATGTGCGCGCTTGCAAGCCAGCGAGAGAGGGAATGCGAGGCTTAGAGTTCATTTGAAGAGCAGTTTGCCTGGCGCGGGATATAGAGCCGACTTTGTGGCGGCATTTAAAAATACTGAGACAAGGAGCCAGAGAGAGAGAGACACACACACACGGCTCACGGCAGCCTGGCAACACGATGGAAAGGCTTTAGTGAAGCGGATGTGATTTTTCATGATCGTTGAAGTGTTGCGATACCTCACCTAATCGTAATTAACCCCAGTCACGTTTCTCGCCATTTGAATTGCTGCACAATAAGCGATTCTGAGTGTACTGACCTGGAGTGGCATGACCCCTGTCGAGTCAGTGCTGAACGTATTAACTCCGGTACTGCAGCAACCGGCCCTCGCTACGAATGCATGCTAAGTATAAAGTTGAAAATAATCCCATTCAAGTACGTGAGGGTCCATTCAACGTTTTCTTCATTTTCGGGGACAATGTAAACTCTACTCAGTATTGGTGTGGTTTTCCAGTAAATTCTGGATTTATCAGTTGCTTGTGGAGTAAACGTTGTGTTTGTGTGTGGTATGCATTGTGTGTGTTTATCTGGACAGGTGGAAATCAGCCAGGGCACTGCATACCTCTCCAGTGACCCAGCTGGACTGGGATGCAAATGGTATTGATTTCTCTCTGAGGCAGATGTCAAACTGTGGCCAGTAACATCGCCAAGAGAGAGCCAGCCTGTTTCACTGTTTCTCCTCCCCCTCTCCTGTCCTGCAAGCCTGCAATGCAGCAGGTTTTCTAGGTCTCTGCAAATCACCAACTAAGGAAAGAGGCTAAATTGGTCCAATTATAGCTATACTGGGCCAATTTGACTAACCACTGCTGGAGGGAAGCTGTGCCTGGCTCAGAAACTCGATCCGAGTGTTCAACACCCTAAGAGGCGCCGGCAAAGTCCGTCCTTGGGAGTGATTTGGGATCATGAGTGAGATACAAACAGGAGCACTCAAGGGGAGAGTTTAAATAAGCGTGCTTAAAGCAGACCAGGGCTGTTTAAAACAGTTGTCGGCACAAAGGGTGGCGGGAGTGTGGAACAAGCTGTACTGTCATGTGGTTGAAGTTGGACCCCTGGCTGTTTTCGGGATGAGACCCTGCGATCAGGCACTAGTTAGGCACTACTTTACACAAAGTGTGGTGGGAGTGTGGAACGAGCTGTCAGGTCAAGTGGTTGAAGCCCGTACAAGTCCTTTGGTTAATCAGCTACAAACCACCAAATGGGCCGAATGGCTCCTCTCTTGATTTGTTAACAGGGAGTTTGATAAGTCTGAACTGGGTTAGGGGGCAGCATGTCCCTGTCAGAAGAGCTGTCCGTCCATCTTCCATTTTCTAAGCGCTTTATCCAGTTCAGGCTCGCGGGGGTGCTGGAGCCTATCCCAGCAAGCAACGGGCGCAAGGCAGGGTCCACCCTGGACAGGACAGCAGTCAGTCACAGGGCAAAAAGACACAGACTCACACAAGGGGTTCGTTTTCCCAGAAGCCATGTAACCTCCCAGTGTGTCTCTGGACTGCGGAAGGACACTGGAGCACCTGGAGGAAGCCCACGTGACTATGGGGAGAGCATGCAAACTCCACACAGATGGATCCCCGCTAACCACTGCGCCACAGTGCCGCCCAGAAGAGCTGTGCTGCTGCGCGGAGCCCGGCGCTGACTCCCTCCTTCTCTCTCTCTCCCTGCAGGCGGAGTG